ATTTTTTTAGCAGTGGACTACGTTTCAAAATGGGTTGAGGCTGTAGCAACCCGAACAAACGACCATAAAGTGGTGATCAAATTCTTGCATGAAAATATCTTTAGTCATTTTGGGTTTCCAAGGGCCATAATAAGTGATCAGGGTACGCACTTTTGTAATCAATCCTTTGCTTCGGTAACTAAGAAATACTCCATCACTCACAAAATTGGCACTCCATACTGTAGACACCCCATTTTTGACCGTCCTCAAGACTTGGACGTCACCATTGGAACACTTGGTGATTACCCTTGTTTGTGTTCGTCTTGAGTTCCCGGAGGTCTCGGTTGCACGCCTTGCCTCAGGATCGCTTGACTCGACCGTGTTGTGTCTGGTTTTGCACCAAACACTTGTGTTTTGCCTTGGAGGGGTAGGGAATGCCTTGTGAGGCATCCCCACACATCACCGGCCATGGCTTGAGGCCACCGGCCAGTGGTTTTGTGCCATCGGCAATATATATTGCCGGTCGGCACTATTTGTTGCCGGTATCATTTCATTTAATACTTAATTGTAAATAATTTTATTTAATTAGCTGTAAAGTGTTGTCTAAAAAAATGTCTTTTAAAAAAAAATCATTAGCTCAAAAATAATTTTTTGTTTATGGCACAATTTTTTTTAATTATAATCATTTCATTTAATACTTAATTGTAAATAATTTTATTTAATTAGCTGTAAAGTGTTGTCTAAAAAAATGTCTTTTAAAAAAAAATCATTAGCTCAAAAATAATTTTTTGTTTATGGCACAATTTTTTTTAATTATAATCATTTCATTTAATACTTAATTGTAAATAATTTTATTTAATTAGCTGTAAAGTGTTGTCTAAAAAAATGTCTTTTAAAAAAAAATCATTAGCTCAAAAATAATTTTTTGTTTATGGCACAATTTTTTTTAATTATAATCATTTCATTTAATATTTTTTATTTAGTTAGTTCAAGTATTGGTCAAAAATAATTTTATAGACATTTAAAATCAATCATTCTTAAAATCATTAACTATTGAAATAAAATATAAAATGTTCCTTTTATAGTGATTTAAAAAAATGAAATATATTAGATCATACTTAAAAACTAACAAAAATTGATCAAAATCTATTTTAAACCCTAATAAATGTGACTTTGAAATATATATATATATATGTGTGTATCGGTAAGTTTTTTCAAATTGTGTGAAGAATTAAAAAATTCACGGTTCCAGTTACCGCAACCATTACAGTATGACCTTTACACCCTACAACCACAACCATTACCGTGACCGCAACTATTTTTCGAAAAAAAACTTGTGAATCATACCAAGATATCAACATAGTAACTGTGTACTGTAAGAGGATCTCCAATCCTTCACTTTTTCTTTTATCAAATTTAAATTTGATGAAAAAATGTTAAAAAATCATCTTCAATCCTTTCATCAAATGTTAATTAAATCAAGTGAGAGTCATTTTTATAATCAAATTGAGAACTTATTAGATCCTTCATCAAATTTGAATTTCATAAAAGTTTAAAAAAATGAATGATGGGAGATCGTCTAATAGTATAATACTAAAATTACAATTCAAAAAAGCTATGGCTGTTGACTAAGACTGCAAAAACAAATAATCATAATCATAAAATAAAGAGGAAATATCATTTTACCCCCCAAACTTTCACACGTTTTTCAATTTGACACCTAAATTTCGATTAACATCAATTTTACACCAAAACTTTTGAAATTTTGATCAATTTGGCCCCTACTGTCACATTCCGTCAACAATTGGACGGAATGTGCTGACGTGGCACCGAAGTTCATTAGAAATTTCAGAGGGAGATCCCTCCATACACGTGTATGGAGGGGAGCAAAAGCAAGACAGCTGTCTTAAAATATCTGCAAAAGCAGATGCACAGTAATCGGCCGGCCAAAAATGCCATCTTGGCCAAAAAGAGTGCCGGCCGGCACTAAAAAGTGCTGACCGGCAACAAATAGTGCCGGCCGGCAATATACATTGCCGGTGGCAGCAAAAACCAGCCGGTGGCCTCTAGCCACTGCCGGTGATGGGTGGGGATGGTCTACAAGCCCTACCCTGCCTCTCAAGGGCAAGATGCAAGTGTTTGGTGCAAAACCAAACACTAAACGGTCGAGTTCGGGGATCCTGAGGCAAGGCGTGCGAGCCGAGACCTCCGGGAACTCCAAACGAACACAAACATGGATGATCACCGAGTGTTCAGACGGTGACGTCCAAGTCTTGAGGACGGTCAAAAATGGGGTGTCTACAGTCATGCGGGATTTTTCCACCAGTTTATTAAAGAATTTAGCAAACTTCTATGACCCTTGTGTAACTTGCTTGGCGATGATGTCCCGTTTGTCTTGGATGAGCCGTATGTGGCGACATTTGAAGTTTTGAGGGCTACTCTTTGTTCAGCTCCAAGTTTACAGTCACTAGATTGGGCCCATCCATTTGAGATCATGTGTGATGCTTTCTACTATGCAGTTGGAGCAATTTTGGGCCAACATGTGGACAAAATGCCATACGTGATCTACTACGCTAGTTAGACTCTTTTCTATGCTTAGTTAAACTACACCACCACGGAGAAAGAGTTCTGGCAGTGGTTTTCGCATTGGACAAGTTCCAGTCGTATCTTCATGGGTTTAAGGTCATAGTCTTCACTGATCACGTTTCTTTACGGTATTTGTTATCAAAGAAAGATACCAAACCAAGACTCATTAGGTGGATGCTCTTGCTACAAGAGTTTGATTTATAGATTCGAGACAAGAAAGTCTCCAAAAATGTTGTAGCCGACCACCTAACCTATCCCGGATCTTAGTTGACCACACTAGTGACCCATTAGTCCTACAAGACTCGTTCCCGGACGAGCAACTCTTTGTTGTGTCACGAGTGAGACCTCCTTGGTATCCACGTATAATCAACTACCTAGTTGTTATCAAATTCCATCGTGTTGGTCCAAGTAAGACAAGGACCGATTCTTTTCTCAGGTTAGGTACTATTTTTGGGAGGATCCGAAGTTGTTCAAATATTGCTCGAATCAAGTGATCCAGCGATGTTTGCCAGAGAGTAAGGTGCATAGTACTATCACATTTTGTCACTCTTCTACATGTGGCGGCCATTTTGGTAGGCACAAAATGACTGCCAAGGTTTTACAAAGTGGATTTTATTGGCCCACCATTTTTAAAGATTCCCACTAATTTTGTAGAACTTATTTGCGTTGTCAGCAAATGGGTTCTATGTCCGGTTGAAACATGATGCCAATGTTTCCCATTTTAGCAATTGAAATTTCTGTATGTATGGGGCATTGATTTCATGGGTCTTTTTTTGTCGTCTTTTGGTTTGAAGTACATTTTTTTAGCAGTGGACTACGTTTCAAAATGGGTTGAGGCTGTAGCAACCCGAACAAACGACCATAAAGTGGTGATCAAATTCTTGCATGAAAATATCTTTAGTCATTTTGGGTTTCCTAGGACCATAATAAGTGATCAAGGTACGCACTTTTGTAATTGGTTCTTTGAGTCGGTAGTTAAGAAACACTCCATCACTCACAAAGTTGGTGCTCTATACCACCCTCAAACTAGTGGCCAAGTAGAGGTGTCCAATAAGGAAGTGAAGCACATCATTGAAAAGATAGTGAGGCCAAATAGAAATGATTAGTTAGCACAATTGATTGATGCCTTATGGGCCTACCGCATTGTTTACAAGACACCTATTGGGATGTCACCATAGGGGGTGGTGTTTGGAAAAGTTTGTCACTTCCCAGTTGAACTATAGCACCGAGCACTTCGGGCCATAAAGAAGTTTAACTTCCAAATGGTCATAGCTGGAATTAAATGGAAGTTGCAATTAAATGAATTAGAAGATATTAGGAATGATGCCTATAAGAGTTCTAAAATCTTCAAGGCTCGAACCAAGACGTTTCATGATAAACATATTAGTCGCAAACCCTTTGAGTCTGGCCAAAAAGTGTGGCCCTTTAATTCTAAGTTGAGACTTTTTCCGAGTAAGCTTAAATCGAGATGGGATGGTCTCTTCGTGATCGTTGATGCAATCCTTCAAGGCACCGTTGAAGTGAAAGATCTACGTAATGGCCACACCTTCAAGGTAAATGGCCAACAATTGAAACCCTATGTGAAGGGGATTGAGAATAGAGAGATGATTGAGTCCATTGCTTTGATGGATCCGTTTTACTCTGATTAAGTGGCATATTTCGTTTTAGCTCTTTTCTTTCTTTTCTTATTTTTATTTTTATTTTGCTATCTTGTGCTCAGTGTCTTAGAGACTTTAAAACCAAAGGTACAATTCCTTTGGTGTTAGTCATGCCCGAATAGCGTCTGACCGTCTGGTATAGCTACCTAATTGTGTTTGTAGTGAGTTCCTAGGAGACCAATTGAGATAGTGGAAACTAGAGTTCGAACATCAAAACCTAGAACACAAAGTTTGGAATTTTTGAGACTAAAGTCTGGTTTAAATACCCAAGGGTGTGGAGATTGCTTCAAAACCACCTCAGCTTCAATATGTATTGCACCCCCATAGGTTGAGGTAGCTTTTGGCACCTCAATTTTGGATACCAAATCAACCTAGTCTATCACCCTGTTGAAAAATAAAGAAAGTTACATGCATGGTTAAGGAGAAAAGTAGTACTCGTGGTTTTTGCGTGAAGATTATACCTTGATTGAGCAGTTTGGGAAGTTGAAAAGGTTTATTTGCTTGTCAAATGCAAAAATGAAGGTAGAAGTTGTTAGTGATTGTTTCTGGGCTTGATTTGGTATAAGCAGGGTGTGTATTTCAGTGGGTGGAAAAAAAAAATCTTGCACGTGTGGAAAATTCCCAGGTCCAAAAGTTACTCCTACTTTAATTACAAATGTCGGGGATAGTGCGGCATAACTGCCGCAAGTGCGAGAAATACCTATGTCCAAAATTTAGCATTGCTTTAAAAGCAGGTGCAAAGGGCTCATGTGCACAGGTTCCCGCACGTGCAGCGAGTACTCCTGCATGGTGTGAAAAAAAAATAAAAAAAATCTAAGATTAACCCTAACCTCTCACCTTTCACCCATCACCTTCTCAAACCTACTCTCTCTACCTTATCTTCTTCCTATCTTCATCAAACACCACCATTACCAATCATCTTCCTCAACCCTCACTCCACCCCACCACACCACCGCCGCACCTCCTTTTGGCCACCTCTAACAACAATTTTTCGGCAGACCTCCATTCTTCTTTTTTGACCTTTTTCTTCTTACTTTTTCAAGGTGAGTTTATTTTTTTAGTTTTAGATCTTTCATTTTCAACCATAATGTAGTCAATCTGTAGATCTATATAAGTCTTGTTATAGTGTTCCTTAAAAATAAAAATAAAAATAATGGAATCTGGACGAATGGACAGCCGCACGTGCGGCTAGCTTCCAAAAAAAAGTAGTAATGATGTGTTGTATTTTTTTTTTTATATGTTAACATCATATTTTAATTAGTTAGTTTTTTTACTTGTTTAGCTCAATTAATTTACTTAAGTAGAGTTGTTGTATAGTAGTATAGTTTACTAATTGTTTAGTTTAGTTTAGTTTTATACATTAGTATTTTATTAATTTTCTTTACTGTAAAAAAAATATATATATATATAAAGAAATCAAAAAATAATAAAAATAATAATAGACTAATGTATTGTTTATTTGTATGTATGGCAGAATAGTTTATTTAACAGTAGTTTAATATTAGTTTTTTTTATTTTTTATTTTTTATTTTTGTTAGAATAGCTTATTGTATAAAAAAAAAATGAAGAATAGAGAATTCCAATTGCATGTTATGGAAATCAGTGGGGAAACATGTGCTTTGACATTATGTAGACGCGTCTCGAGGGCCTCATGCTTCTACAGTTCGGACTCAAATGTCACGATTCTGAATCTAATCCCGCAAAGTGCAATGTGAGACTGATAAATCACCAAAGAGTCCAAATCCGACAAATCGTTTTGGAAAACTGATTTTTAAGAAAGAAGTGCCAAACATGGACTGCTTTGCCAGATACAGAGTCGTCACCTAAATATTTTGTTTTGGGGGAATTTAGGAAACCTTGACTCGTTGCCTAAGGTCACGTGTCCATCATCACCAAAGTTGCCTTAGCTCGGGAACTTGGGTACGATTGGGGAAGGTCATCTATGAGCACCTCCGCTCGCCCGATCCGAAGATCGGCCTATACTAAGCATGATATCTTGTTTTTGAAAACACATGTGTTCTTATTCCGGTTATTAGCTAGCTTACTACGTATGTTTTGAACAACCTCGGGTCCACGTATAACAAAACGGCCTTAGGCCCAATCATATATCAAAACAACCTTAGGTCCAAACGTATCATATCGTATCACTGTATCTGATCATGGAGTAGATGGAACATCGACATGTCTCCACCTCTCCTTCGGCCCAATTCATGTATGTATGGACCCAAGAGGTGACTCGTACGAATAGAGGTGACTCCCACTGTAGCACTTAGTTCCGTACATCACTTTGTTCCATACTAAAAGTCAATAAGTCCTAAAGACCGAACAATCATGCCATAGCATAAACGAAACGGATAAGCAGAACAACTTTGGGCCCACCATATCATATTATAAATAATTCACATTTCTTGTTCATAATTTATTTCACATTTCTTGGAAACTTGTGCATTTCGATAAAATATATCATTTAGAGAATCATGTCATGCATAAATCAAGATAGATAATGAAAAACATATCTTTACTATATTATTACTCATAATGATGGGCTCCTGGTAGCAGTTGGACGATGTCCTCGCGTCTTGACCTACAATTACAATTACATTACACAACATATGAATATAGTCGATCCCTTTCTTTGCTCTTTAATCAATTAGTTATGTTGGTTCTAAAATCATTAGTCCTCAATAGGTCATAATCCGTGTCTAGGGAAATAAGAGGAAACAAAAGGAAACTATGTTAGATGAAGAATTAGCATAAAACCAGTAGAGAAAAAGTGAACAACCTTCACTAATTTGATCATATCTATTTGTGTACTTAGAATTTGGATATGAGACCACCACCATTGGAAACTAGACTTCTGGGGCATGAATTTAGGCTCAAGAATCACTTGAAACGGGGTCCGGATGAGAGAGATATGCTTTTTGAAAGTGGGCTAGAACATGTGTGCCTGCACGTGCAGGAATCAAGGCCGCACGTGAGGGACAAGGTGCTTTTATTTCAAAATCAATTTAGGTGCTGGAAGTGGGCTGCCGTACGTGTGGGGAACCCCGCCGCACGTGCGGCTTTGGGCAAAATCTGTTGCTCGAAAATCCCTGTTGGCTCTAACACTTGTTTTTCAACTTTCTAAGCTAGGTTTCAACTATAATCACTCAAAAACATGTAAAATTACCCCACAACATGATAAACTAATATCATTCACGCGTAATTTCATCTTAAACAAATCAATATTTGCCTCAAGTTCAAGATCAATGTTTCATTTTTCATAATCTTGAAAGTTCCCAAAACACAACCCACAAACACACTTGATCCTTGCATAAATCTTATTCTATGGACAATCTAGAGTTCATATCATCTGTTATTCACAAGATTGAGCTCCAGTCATAAACAAAATCAAAGGACCCAAGTTCTAATTTCTTAAATTTAGCTCAATTAAATACATACAAAACCCTAACCCAAATGGGCTTCAAATCTTCCAATCTCATTATGATTTCATGAAATTGATGAATTAATCATAAGGATTCAAGATAGATTTCCATACCTTAGTTCAATCTTTGTTTTTCCCTTAACTCTCTTCAATTTTCCTAAGCTTTCATGGTTGATCTTCTTCCTTTCTCTTCAATCTCTTCAATTTGTCTTTAAATCCCATGAATGTTGAGCTCTCTCTCTTAGAGAAGCTTTCTCTCTCTGTGCTCTCTCTCTCTCTCTCTCTCAGTTCTCTCCCTCTCCCTCAAATATTTTTGGCCTCAAAAGTGATGAGTTCAACTCATATATCATATATATATATATATATACACATAAGCTTATCACAATTAGGGAGAGCCAAACGCACCCTTACGAACCAAACGAAATCAAATTTCAATTAAACTTCCCAGATGACTCTAAAAATCATGCTGATCATAACTATGTACTCCGTTCTGGTTTCTGAAGCCTCTAAGGCCTTCAATTTGTAGTGCAAAGTTAACCACCCAAACACATCTTAATGAATCAGATGAAATAAATTTTCAATTAACCTTCCCAAATAGCTCTAAAAATTCCCATTAGCATACCCATATACTCAATTTCGGTTTCTGAACTCTTAAAAGTCGGCAATTTCAGTTTCAAGGTCGTAACTCGACAGATAATTCCTTAATTCAAACAGATATAATTAAATTAAAGCACATTAACCCATAATTAAATGAAGATACTTTCTGATACGCATTTTGAGGTCGTTACAAGTGGGCTCATCGGCCACTTCACAAGCTAACACAATTCAACATCCAGTATTTTCGGGATGACCCATCCACCTCTTAGGCTATTCAGCAACTACAGGACCAACAACATTTGAGCCTTTACACTATCATTGCTCCCACCTAGCCTCGTTTTGTTCGACTCTTCTATCAAAACATGTATAAAGAGCGTATGGTATCATCTCCAAACCTCTGCTCCACTATTGATGATCATGAAATTACAATCACACCCTCAATGATTACAAGGGCTTTAAACTTCCACGAGGGGTACCCGACTGACTACCTGTTTTCCAACATTAAGGTTAACACCCCTATACCACAACTCATTCAAGAGTTTTTGCCAGGAGCCCATGGTGATAATTCTGTCACCTACTTACACTGTAGCAACCTCCCTACATGCCTACTATTTATTGACTCAATGCTTCACAAGAATGCCCTTTCACTTGGACACAAAGTTAAACACCACAAAGAGTTCGTGCGGGTTTTATATTGCTATCAGCATGACGATCAGGTTGATCTTTAGCACATTTGGGGGCACATGCATAAATTCTTGAGGAAAGAAGTTTAGCCTCAACCCATACAGAATGCAAGTTGGCATCTTCCATTTGCTAACCTTCTCACTCTCCTCTTCCAGATGAATGGCCTCGAGATTGACCCGAATGAAGAGTTCGACACTGCCATCCTGGAGTTCGGCTAGCAAGAATGGCAATATAGTTTCTCTCGAATTAACCCACAGGGTGGTGCCCCGATTGATGCGAGGGATGCTCACATGTATGACCCTCCATCTCCTACCCCTCCAGTGCCTCCCCAAGGTGAACCAATGTCTATGACCAGAGAGTAGTATCAGGTTTATCTGGATGGTCAGATGCATCTTTAGCACTTTATGGATCACGTCCACAGTACCCTTCAAGACCACTAGCGGCTACTAACGAAATTGCACACTAATTTTGCTCAGTATTATGAGCATGTGCACACCTTGCAAACATATTTTCAGGCCTTCCAGGCAATGGTTTGAAACCCGGACTGGACCGGCCGGTCGAACCGGTTGGATAGAGAAAGACCCATGGGTCGAACCGGGAAAACCGGTGACCCGAACCGGTTTGGTGGGTTGGACGTTTATTTTTTTCTATTTTTTTTTATTATTTTCTTCTTCTTTTCTCTTTCTTCTTTCTTGTATATATATATATATATATATATATTATATAAATATATTCAAAATTTTGACTAAAATTCTTACTTCAAGAGTCTCCCTCTCATAAGGAAGAGTCTCATTGAAAGTTTAAAAAGATTATGAAAGTCTATTATTATTTATAGGAAAACAAATTTCAAAGAGAACTATAAAATTCTTTGTGGGATTCAATCAAATTATTTGAAATATATTGATTGGAGTGAGAGTTGAAAATTTCATTTCCCTCTAAAATGAAACCTAGCATTCAATCAAATTCAATTTGTTTGGAGGGAATGTTTAAAAAATTTAATTTCTTTAAAATAAGTGACTTTTTTTTTTTTTATCAATTATGACTTTATTAAATATTATTAATAAATACTATACAACAATTTTTATTTTTATTTTTATTTGAGTTTTTTTATTTATTTATAATTTTTAATTATATTTTTTAATTTTGACATCACGGTTTGACCGCTTTGACCCAACGGTTGAACCGGTGATCCGTCCACCCGGTCCCTTTTCCGGTTCGCTCATCGGTCCGGTTTTCAAAATATTGCTTCCAGGCACAATCTTGATTGGATGCAAACGAGACTCACACTATGCTGCAGGCTCTCCTTGTTCATTATCCTCCACCATCTCCTAATGCTCTTGGCCCATGAGTCCTATACATTCTATTTTGTATATTTGAACTTAAATATAAATTTGTGGTGCTGATAGGGACACAATCTGGTGATAGTGTCTCTTTTGCATTTATTTCAATTTTGCTTTGATTTGCTTAATTATTTGTTTGCCATTGACGACAATGTCATTTTAGTTTTTTTTTTTTTTTTTTTTTGGGGGGGGGGGAGAAGGGGAGTGCATTTCTATATGGGGGTACACCTTGATTCACACATGAGAATTATGAGCACTAGAACACACTTGATATTTTGCACCACCATAAGTACTGTTTTTCATGACATGTTAGAATATTGCTCAATCTATGGTTTGTGTGCATGATTAACTTAATGTGGGTGTGTTTGTAGTGAGTGTCTATTTGATTAGTAATGATAATTTTGCACTTTGTCTTTCACGAGCACAATTCTGACTATGTTAATTGCAATATTTGTTATCTAGGATTGTGTTCTTGACTCATAATGTGACCAATCCTTTAGAGTTAAAAAATAAAAAATAAAATCAAAGAATTAGTAGCTAGTTTGGGTTCGTAGCCTTTTTAACTCAAGTTAATAAGTTCGTTGGGGTGTCTTCACCCTAAAACCATCTAGTTTGGGAGTCATTGGTCTAACACTTGTTACATGGGTAAGGGACCTCGACATTGCACGGTCACTAATTAAAAAGATGACTAGTTTGGATTTGTAGCCTTGTTAACTCGAGTTATTAAGCTCGTTAGGGTGTCTCTACACCTAATGCCCTAAAATCATCTAGTTTGAGAGTAATTGTCCCAATACTCGCTACATGAGTTAACTAGAAAGCATAAGAAATCTAGACATTGCACAGTCTCCTATTAAAAGAATATGGGGGAAAAAACAAAAAATTGGAAGGTGGGGTTGTGCCATGAGACTTTGAGAACACTTGATTAGATAGTTTATGGTAATTCACTGATTGTTGAGCTTGACATTACACACAAGGTGCAATTATTACTTTCAATATGAATATCCCTTGATATTTCACATGCTCATATTAATTGATCTATGCATAGCACTAAAATTGAATAATTCATGAGATGAAATGAAATATCTTTTGTTAATTGTTGTGAGATATTGGGGAGTGTAACTTGAGAAAATGATTCAAATATTGTGAATGAGGTGTACTGTATATTAAATGTTTGTGGTATCATTGATGCAAACCTTCACGAAACTAAACTTGTCCACATGGGATAACTTTCTAGTTCAAAAGCTTGTTGCATATGCTAAATGCAATTGTTCATTCCAAGAAACAGGATGTCGCTAGATTTTGCTTTATTTTTCTTTCTTTGTTTCCTTGCTCGAGAACTAGCAAGTTGTAAGTTAGAAGGGTGTGATTGAGACCGAATTGTATATCATTGAGGCCAATAATTGAGATTTCTTAACTATATTCTTGATTCAATTTTGTACATTTTGCTAGTGTTTAATTTCAATCAGGTTGATGCATTTGAAGTACAAAATGAGCCAAAAAAAAATGGAATTTTAACTAAAAAGACGTTCCTGCAGGTGTGAAGCATCATTCTTGCACGTACGACTTCTCGTCTGAAGTTCAAAGCATCCTGAAAAATCCGCACATGCAAAGGGTTGTTCCCAAACGTGCGGTGACATTTCTCGCACATGCAGCCCGACCTTGTTTTGTGTATGTGACGTTCTAAACCTATTCTGGAGGCCTGCAAGGTATAAAGAGGAAAAAAGAAAACTAAAAGAAGCCTCTAATATTTTTCCAAAGAAAAAGAGAGGATAAGGTTTGGAGAGAAAAAGCTTGGAGCTTCAAGTATGTCTTCCATAGTGGCTTCTCCCTCTACCTCTTCCCGTTCATCCATGAGTGGCTAGTCTTCCATTTTCTAGGGTTTTGATGAAACCCTAGCCATGTAAAGAGATTTTTCTTAGGCTTTGATTGCGTAACAATTTGAATAAATGTATAGATGTTTTAGAAGTTTGCAATTATATTTCTTTTCATCTCTTCTAGTATTTTACTCTCTGTAATTGTTAAATATTTTCCATACTTTCGTTTTCTTTCTGTTTATGTTTAAAGTATGAGACGGGTCATGCTACGAGAGACAAGTCGTGTTGCTATCATAGTTTAGAGTGAATGAATCATGCTACTTGAGATGATTCGTGCCTGTACATTTAATGTGATAACCCTCTTGATCAATGTTTCAAACTTGTAGTTGTGAAACATTAGGTAGTTCAAACCAGATTGCAATTGATGGCCGATGTTAAATCTTATTTATGTGGCTAGTGGTGAATTCTCTACCCTAGGATTTTTCCAAAATCAATATCTAAAACCCTAATTTTAATTGTCAATTCAATTTCTCAATTTCATTTTATTTCTAATTTAGTCATATTATCCATCTATATTTTTTTTTCAAAATTAATTTAGGAACCTGGCAATTAAATTAGTTTAATTTCATAATTGTCCCAGTGGATCGATACCCGGACTTGCTATTATTCTAAGGAATTTGGGCATTATAATAACCCTCATTTTGCCTTAGTCATATTCATAAGAATTTACATAATTTTGGTTTGTTAAACTTGCATCTTGTAAACTGTGATATTTTGTCTAAGTGTGGGATTCTATCTTGTTTTGATGCTATTGTGTTTTTGCCTAAGTATAAGATCCCTATTTTGTTCCTTGTTTTTTGTGTTGAACCTAGGCTATCTACCTTTGCTACCTCACACCTAGATCGCACCTTTGAACCTCTCACACCTAGGCCATTGAGCGACAACACCTAGGGTCATCTTGGCTAACCTCCACCTCCACCTCCACTCTCACACCTAGGCCGAGGTGTGCATCACCTAGGCATTCGAGATCTTTGATCCTTAAATCTTGCATCCTTGTTGGGCACCTTCTTGCCAAGTTATGCACTTTAGCCAACACCTAGCAACCTTTGTCCCATGACTTGTACAACCTAGGCCGAGGTGTGTCACACCTAGGCCAAGTGTTACCCTCCTAGCCAAGGTCAGGGAGACCTCACCTGTCCGAAGCTTATGTTTTGATCTAGGATCCTTGTCTTGTCAGAAGTGCCCATGCCACCTTACTTGTTGTATACACTTTGACCTACCTATTGTCCTTTCATTCTAGCACCTTTTAAGAAGATTTGACCAAATTATGGCACGTGTCCTAGTAGTGGGTTTAAGTCAGTTAGTTGTTGGGAAACCAATATCTGTGTCATATCTTTGTCTTGAAGAGAGAGAAGCTCTAAGAAGAAGTTCTTAGAGGAAGTTAGATTTTCTAAGCTTGATTATTAGACTTTGAACCATTTGATTTTTGTTTTGAGGTTAGATTCTTGATATACTTTTGTTGTTTTTATGTTAATCTGATCATGTTGCATTATCTAACATGATTCATGAGCCATGCATTGATTTAAAGTTTTGTTTTAGAAAACATACAATTTCATATCAAACACATAATCACATGCGTAATTAAGTTTATTACAGGCTGGGTTATCACAATGTGACTTTTAAATTTACCTAGAGAGCACCTATTAGCATTTGTCTTCTAATTTATTACTTACCAATCATAGTGACTTTGCGTATAATTTGTTCTCATTTTACTTACCAATCAATAGTAATAGGGCCTTATTGAGCACTACTTATGTTTGATTGACTTGTAAGTAAGTTTGATGGAATAGTAAGTAGAGTATCAATGAGTATATAGTAAGTACAGCCTCATTAAGTAGTAAGTGGCGTTTAAATTAGTAGTAAGTTAATTAGTCATTTTTCAATAAAAAATAAAGAATTAAACTAAACACTAATTTTGTAGAACAGTGGATTGTCCAGGTATCATACCATAAGAATTGTGGGCTAAGTTGTATCAATTCAATTGGTAATTTCTAAATTAATTTAAAGAAGAGAGGGCGATTGATTTTAACTAATGGGGATTTAAATCAAAAATAAATTAATTGCGCAAATAAAAAGAGTTATCCGAATATGGAGAGAGACGTAGGATCTCGAATCCACTACTACTAATCATATATCACATAATTTAAATATTCAATTTTAGTAAATCAATGGCTTGAATAATAATGATGATGTATCTTAGTTACAAGTTCTGATAATATCGCCAAAAAGATGAGTATATTCAAAATGTAGGCACGAATCATCTTTAGTCAACATGAATCGTCCACTCTAAACTAGAGTTGGGGCACTGCTCATCTCTCCTAAGCATGACTTACCTCACAGTTTGTATATACGAGAAAGTAAAACAGTTGTATCATCATGCATTCTCAATCACAGAAATCAAATACATAGTCGAATGAAAAAATTATTTGAATAAAAGATTTAAAATGATCATACAACGATTATTGATGGGTTGTTTGGCACACCAAAAATAAACACTAAACTATGCCTGTCATGACCCCATTCCGCCCCCAACATAATAATGTTGTGATGGCCAGTAATCTTAGATTACCGAAGGCTAACTTACAAAGATTCACACATACAGAGTATAAATATGGAGCATACATGTACAGAAGTAATAAATTTAAATCTAACTAGTCCATAAGAGTTGTGCATAGATTAAATGAAATGACATACATATTAATATGGTTTTACAACTTGGATAGAAAAATAAAATAAACTTGATATTATATCTTTACCAAAAGGCTTCTCTAGCCAAAACATACAAAAGTAAATGATCTACAAAGCTAAGAAGCATAATATTCAAGATCATACAAAAACATGAAACAAAACACATCTTCTAACAAAGCTTAGGCGACATCGCTTTCTTATTCATCACCTACATGTATATAAGGGAGAGGGGTGAGCTAAAAACTCAGTAGACGATATAAGTAATAAATGATTGAATGAATGATATCTGAGATTTATCAAAATAATACATATCATAGCTTGTGACAAAATCAAATGAAGAACCAAGTTCATTAATCAAAGGCTTTTAAAGCTTCAGAGAATGTTTACTAACATCTACGTAATACAAAGAAAGAACATTCATTGACAAACCAAAGGAATAACTAACCCGAAATTGATTAGACAAGCCTACCCATCAGTGGCAAAGGAGATATCTCAAATAAAGGTACTAGTTGTATTAAAGTCCCTTAGCACACAAGGAACCTTTAAAGAATGTCATCAAAACAAACATAGTACTTGATACAAAACTAAGGGATGCTCATTCATGCTTGATCAAATATTTTTCCAAAACAAAGCAAGGCTTTTATCCAAAACATTATAATATAACTTTATTAAAAATATCACTCGCAATAACTCTTCGGTCGAAGGGGAATTAAGGAAAAGATTCAAGACCTGCAAATACGTGTTCAAGAAGACAAGAAGAGATACTCAAAGATGGTTATGCAATACACTATCAAAACAAGCTTCAAATGAGTGAAATAGATCTTGACATTTCTTCTCAAAACCATATCAAAACAAAGCAAAACATGTCCTAGGAGTTAAATCAATGTTTTTTGTTGTTAGAAAAACATGTTGGGTACAACCCAGGTCTAGGAATGGATGCACAGCGATGAACTGGGACAAAATGGCCTAGCTTGTTGTAATCAGAAGGGCTTGGCTGAGGTGTGGCCTCCTTGGTCGAGATGTGGGCTGCCTTACCAAGATGTTACAAGGTGGTTGACCTAGGTGCTCATACAAAGTAGACCAAGGTGCAAGTGATCATGCAGGGTAAGCCAAGGTGAGACAGATGCTTGGCCTAGGTGCGAAGGCGGGACAAGAGTGGGTCTCGATGACCACACTTCAGGAATAATGAAATCTATAAATTTGGGTTTCCTTTGAAGAACATGAAGAACATGATTGCTAAAATCATAACTCCTTATTCAAAATCTGAGTTCAAAAACATGGACCTGGGTACCCATACTTGAAGATTTCATGAAAACAAACACAAAAATATAAGACTTGATACAAACTTTTAGATCAAAACGAATCTTATTTTCTTAAAGAACAAGAGAATATCACCTTCTCGATTATGTGAGTTCTTGTGTGATTATGAATTTATATATGTTGGGTGTAGAAAAATCGATTGCAATAGCGGCTTTGAATTGAGAATTTATAGCCTTAGAGGCGCCAGAAACCAAAACCGACTTTACATCTGCGTTTAGCATGATTTTTAGAGCTTGCGGTGAAATTTGGTAAAATTTCGATTCGTAATGAATTAATCGAGTTTAATTAGCATAAGCCTTAGATTTCACGTCATGTACAAGATTTTGTATTTAATTGATTAAGGATATTTGGATTCTAATTGGTTGTTACTCTAAGGTAATTTGGGATTTATGAGAATTTTGGAGTCTAATTCGTATTTGATTTTAATAAGGATTTATTTTAGAATTTGAAATTGAAAGCCTAAATGGCTTAAGAGAGTATAATTGTTGAATTGAATTATTTTAATTTTGAGAATCATACTATATGAGAGTTTAATTAAATATTCGATTTAGATTTGTAAAATTGAGATTGGATTAATTGGGTCCGAATTGGAGTTAATTAAGTTATGAGAATTTGGAATTAAGGTTATTATGAATTAAATTTATTTATGAGGTATTCAATCGAGTATGTAACTTATTAGTGAAGATTTTAAAGTTTAATCTGAAATTGAAGGCCTTAATGATTTAAGAAACTAAAATTGAGGATGGAAATAAATTTAATTTAATATTTGGAGCCTTTTTGGGAGTTTGATTAAAAATCTAATTCAGAATGATAAAGTTAAATATAATTAATTGGGCTATAATGGAAGTCAAATTAGACTAATTAAATTTTGTGGGATTTGTGATTAGTTATGATTAATTAAGTTATGTGTTGATCAAGATGCATTAAGATCAAGTGTTGCCTAATTGAGTTAATTTTAATCATAAATTGAGTGGTCAAAAATTTGAGGGTGTATGTGTAGTGTGCTAAGAAATCTGGTGGGTATACTGAGAAACCAGGTGTGTGTGTGTGTGTGTATATAGATATTGTGCTGGAAGCTTGAATCAAGGTGTACGTGTAACGCCCCAAAAATTTCGGCAGGGTATATCTATTTATGCTACAAAACCCACCTGATAGACAAATACATATATATAGCTAACTATTCCATACATCCATTTCCATTAAATCCCAAATGCCAAATACATGCTATTCACATCCCAATGCCCCAGTTCCAAACCCAAGCATACATTTTGCAACAAGTATGAAATGAAAGCCAAATAGATAATAAGTGCCCTACAGGTTTACAAATTTATCCAAGAACATTCTTGGTTACACAAAATGAAGTTTCAACTTAACGCAAATACAGCCTTGCGCTTACATTCAACAAATAACGATAAAACAAAAATGAAGCCTCAGCTCCGAGTCCTCCTAAGTCAATGCCCTGGCGGAGGCATAGCACCTGTACCTGAAATGGTTTCCCTTATAGGGTGAGCCATAGCCCAGTAGAGATATACTACACAACATATGAACCATGACAAGACTAAAGAGGAGTATACTCATGCCATGCTCATGATAAAACAATTTATCTCTCTTTTTCTAAAGCATGCAATGCTGAGATGCAACAACAGATATAAAACCATTTCCATTTTAAACCATATCTGTTACATAAATACAGGCTCTGTGAATCTCTAGGTGAGTGTCTGCAAGTAGGCCGTAATGCACTACCATTGTCATTTTTACCAATAAACTGGAAGGCTCGACACCAAACCGCGTAGTTTTACACCTCCTCAGATTCACCAAGTATTCATCTTTTCGCAAACAAATACATTTCCAAACATTTCTCAAAAACAGATACATTTCCAATGAAATGAATGTAATGCAATGTCCAATGCAACAAATGAGGAATGTGGTTCAATTTGCCTAAGTCTCATGCATTTCTACAACAATCAGTACTATCCTCCACCGATAGCCCAAAACAAATATTCTAAACATATATTTAAATAATTAAATTTCAAAAAAATTTCAATAAATACAATCTATTCCACATCTCATCAAATATGAACAACTACACTAGTTTTCATGTCACAATCAAGTCCGGTAACCTCTCAAGGTTCATTTCTAACCGTGTCGGTTTTATTCCAATAGATACATTAAGCAAAATAATACCGTTACTGCCCAAGAAAATATCATTTTCTTTCCAAACTCATTCTCCAAGAATTATTCAACTATGACATCCTATTTTGATTAAAAGCCCCAAAAGTTAAACATAATTCCTTTGTTTTCTTTAAAAATACTCTTTTTGTCGCAAACTGGTAAAAATTTCAAAACTGATCAAATCGAAGTCCGTTTTTGTTCAAATTTAAAACATAGCTCTTTCATAACCTTACAAACATATTCCAAGTTTACACTTTTGCAATTTAGGCATCAACTCTTTATTTTTCTCAAAATTTTCCTTTTAAGCAAATAAATCACAAATTTTCTAAAACTTCTAATTAAATTATATACAACTTTAAGCTCCATATAATCAAGTAAAAGTGCATAAAGAAGTGTAGGAAAAATCCTTACCTAGATCCAAGAGCTTCCAAGAAAATAAAAATTTCCGGCGACAAAATTTCGATTCGTTCAGATTAAATCGGAGCCCTCAGAACCCTCTACAATTTGATCTATGGAACTAGGGTCTAAAACCTAACAGGTTTGATGAATCAAGGATTTTATATAATAAAAAAAAATAACCAAAGAAAAAAATTTCAGAAGGAGAGAGATAACCGAGAGAGAGAGGTGTTTGATGGAAACAAATAAAAGCAATCCAAGTCTCCTTATTTCTTTGCCTTGTGCTGGTAGAGAAATTGATTAAAAAAGTATATATAAACAAAAGCTAAGCAAGTGGCAAACCAATCACCCAAACAAGGCATGGCTAGCAGACCCCACGTGGTTCTATCCTCAAAATTGATAAAAATATCTACAATTAAAATTATGATTTAGCAAAATTATAAAATTTTGTAACATAAAATTATAAAATGGTATAATTTTTGTTATCACAAAATATAACTCTCATTTAATGGTATACATCATAAATATTCACAACTCTTTTATGGTAATCAAAAAATAATAATAAAACCACAACAATATTTCATAGTTACTAATGGGTCACGATGCAATCAATTAGGTTCAAAATGAATGGAGTTTAATAATTTAAAATAAATTCCCAACTGAGATTAAAGTTTAAATTCAATTTGATTCAACTCGTTACAGTACGTGTGCAATATGTGTCAACAAGAGAGGTGTGCATCATGTGTTTAAAGATTTGAATGAAGGCCCATTTGGGTGTTCTGCTGGGAGCAAACCAGTGTCAGGGGGAGAGAGAGTGTTCCATGTACTTAGTTGCTGGAGAAAAAAAATGGGGAGTTGGTCTATGTCAAGAAGAGAGAAAGATGGAGCTCAAGGAAGAACAAGGGAAAAGAAAGGAAAATTAACCAAACATGATGGAAATAAAGTTTAAGGTATGAAATCATGCTTGATTTCTTGTGATATTTATATTACCCTTGAAATTAAAGATGAGTTTGGAATCAACATCATATAATTGAAAGAAATTAACAAATTGGTGAAGAAATTGATCTAGGTTTATGGATATGGAATATGTAACGAGTTGAATCAAATTGAAATATTATTATTATTATTATTATTATTATTATGGCAATTTTTTTTTTTTTGAATTTTAATTACACAAAATGAAGTTTCAACTTAACGCAAATACAGCCTTGCGCTTACATTCAACAAATAACGATAAAACAAAAATGAAGCCTCAGCTCCGAGTCCTCCTAAGTCAATGCCCTGGCGGAGGCATAGCACCTGTACCTGAAATGGTTTCCCTTATAGGGTGAGCCATAGCCCAGTAGAGATATACTACACAACATATGAACCATGACAAGACTAAAGAGGAGTATGCTCATGCCATGCCCATGTCTGGAAAACTATGTTCCTTGACCTGTAGTTCAGGCATTTCGTTTATGTCGGCTTGTGAATCCCTTTTGTTAAAATGTAGTAAGTATTTTTGTACCTTACTTTAATTGTATTCAAGTTGTAAGTCTACAAATTTAGCAATTTTAATATATATATATATATATATATATGTAGTTGTTTGAACAAAAAAAAAATATATATTATAATATTAATGATAAGAGGAGCCCATGTGGGGCTACCCCTCCATTTTCCCTTGTCCATTTCTTTTCTTCATTTGATTTGAAGCAACAGACGTCCTACCCTCTCTCCTCTCCTTCGGCTTTCTCTTGCTCTTTGCCTCTCTCAATTTCTTTTTTTTTTTAACATTCATCACACAAAATCTATGATCCAACAAAATATATTGGATTTTAGATCCATGTTCTTGAGACCAAAGTAAAGAGTTTGGTGAGAGCAACGTTTTGACTAGTGGAGATCAAAATCCGACAAAGTCAAAAATTAGAATTTTTGCTTGTTTCCTCTTCTAGCTTTTGAGGTAGGATTTTTCCTACACTTTTTTTATGTACTTTTACTTGATTATATAGAGTTTAGAGTTGTATATAATTTAATTAGAATTTTTGAAAATTTTGTGATTTATTTGCTTAAAAGAGAAATTTTGAGAAAAATAAAAAGTTGATACTCAAATTGCTAAAGTGTAAACTTGGAATATGTTTGTAAGGTTATAAAAGAGTTATGTCTTAAATTTAAAAAAAAATGGACTTCGATTCGATTGGTTTTGAAATTTTTACCGGTTTGCGGTCAAAAGAGCATTTTTAAATAAAACAAAGGAATTACGTTTAACTTTTGGGGCTTTCAATCAAAATATGATGTCATAATTGAATAATGCTTGGAGAATAAGTTTGGAAAGAAAATTATGTTTTCTTGGGCATTAACGGTATTATTTTGCTTAATGTATCTGTTGGAATAAAACCGACACGGTTAAAAATGAACCTTGAGAGGTTACCAGACGTGATTGTAATATAAAAACCAGCGTAGTTGTTCATATTTGATGAGATGTTGAATAGATTGTATTTATCAAAATTTTTGGAATTTAATTGTTTAAATATCCATTTAGAAATATCTGTTTTGGGCTATCGGTGGAGGATAGCCATGATTGTTGTAGAAATGCATGAGACTTAGGTAAATTAAACCACATTCCTCATTTGTTGCATTCGACATTGCATTACATTCATTTCATTGGAAATGCATCTGTTTTTTAGAAATGTTTGGAAATGTAACTATTTGCGAAAAGATGAATACTTGGTGAATCTGGGTAGGGAGTGTAGAGCTGCGCGGTTAGGTGTCGAGCCTTCCGGTTTACTAGTAAAAATGATAGTTGTAGTGCATTAGGGCCTACTTGCACACACACACACCTAGAGATTCACAGAGCCTGTATTCATGTAACAGATATGGTTTAAAATGGAAATGGTTCTATATCTGTTGTTGCATCTCAGCATTGCATGCTTTATAAAAAGAGAGATAAATTGTTTTATCATGAGCATGGCATGACCATACTCCTCTTTACTCTTGTCATGGTTCATATGTTGTGTAGTATATCTCTACTGGTGTAACGCCCTCAAAATAATAACATTAAACCCAACAAATAAAACATTCATTGACATACGAAATATCCACATTCTTCTATTCATCAGAGTTTCATTACAAAAGTATTACATGTTAACAACAAAAGCAAAATGCCCTACGGGCTTACAGCTTTCCAAGTTAACACTTGGTTACAACAAAAGAGTACTAACTCATTTACATATTTAGCCCTTGGCTTGAATTTACATGTAATACATCAAAAAATAAAACGACGAAAGTATGTCCGCCACTAGCCTCCCAAGCTAAGTCCTTGGAGGTGGCATGCTACCTGTACCTGAAAATGATATTCCCATATAGGGTGAGCCACAGCCCAGTAGAAATACACTAAACCAACCATGAACAATGACTAAAAGATTAGCAATTGATAGATGGCCAACACTAATACATCCACATAAATCACAATTTTATGTCCTCCGACTTATGAGTCCAAGTTACTTTTCATTTTCCCTTTTTCAACAGATAAGCATATTAGCTCTATCATCATCTCAACAGATATGTATAAAAACTAAATCCACATTCACAGATAAGCATATAAGCATATATCCCACTATTCTCAACAGATAATGTATAACAATATATCCCCACATTCACAGATAAGCATATAAGCTGTATCTACACTTCACAAAGATAAGCATATGAGCTCTATCTTCACTTCTCTAGACAAGCATAAGAGCCTGTATCTACGCGAGTTCATCCTCTATCTTCTCCCAATTACTAATCCGGTTTAGAGGTACACCCCCCATCTTCCCCTAAACTGCGGAGTACATCCCCCAATCTCACTCCTCTACACACAACGTATACACAAACATTGGGTTCTATATTATCCATCATTCATACATACAGTTAGATGTATTCTATCAACTGCGATCAAATTCCATGACACATCCCATTGACTAGTTTTCGTTTGCCTAATCATCATGCATTGTCTACAACAATCACGACTATCCTCCACCGATAGCCCAAAGCAGTTATTTCTTAAACAGAAAATAAATGCACAATGGATATCAATCAACATTTCATTTCGGTGAGTGATAAATAATTCAACTACACCCTTTAACCCCATACTTCCCATCTCAACTTCATGATTTCATAACCTCAGTTTCTCACGATTAATTAACCCAATTAATTCAAACAATATAATTAGGGCATTTCCATAATTAACATTACAACCCTTAAGGTCCCATTTTCATCAATGATTCAACATTTATCCATTTTT